GAAAAAAAACCCCAAAAACATAGACTGCCTAAAGCGAACTTGTTTATTAATGACAATGTACACATCCTTAAGAGATGGTCGGTGGTATATTTTGTTTTGTTTTGTTTTGTTTTTATCTGAGCTTAAACTGATGACTGATTTAATGGTGGAGGTGGACTTTATGACCCTTTAATGGTTTACTAGCCATGTTGTTAACAAGTAAAAATTCAAAGACCATAAAATATAAAATAATTTTGTCCAAACTAAACATGCCAAAAATGGATGTGAATTCCATACTCCCAAAGCAGGAATCAGAAAATGAAGGAAATTCAACTCTCCCTCCATGACGAAGTAGACAGGTTTCGCTATCATAAGCACGCCAAGTGTATGTTGTTGTTTAATAAAAAAGGTGGTATGTTTTTGTGAGAAACTGACAGTGCTCTGCGTCATGAATACCTGCCAGTCCTACAAGGGAAGAGAATATTTATACTACCAAATTTAAAACTGCTTCAGGTTTATAATTTTAAAAGAGTAATTCTGAAGCAGAACACTGTATCTGTGATTTTCTGAGTTCAATATATGTTTAAACAGCTCTTCTATTTTTCAAAAACAACACAACTTCCCTATTAAGAGACAAAGAAAGAGAATCTGTGCAATATGTGGGAATGGTTGGGGGGGTTTTTGTTGTTGAGTTGTACCACACAATATATTACCTCAATAGGTTCAAAGCTGTGGCTTTTATTGGAAACCCAGATAAATCTTTTTAGAGGAAGGAATAGAAATAGATGTTGGCATTCATCCAGGTGAAAGAGCTTAGGGTTCCTGAGTGTAGGAGAAACATAATTTTTATTTTTAGTTCTTGTTTTTCTGAGGACATAATGTCCTCCGCTCCTACAGTGATAGGTAGCAAGCATCTTTCATGGGTTTCCAATTCTGTGCATTGTACAGCTTCTGATCCTCAACGACACAGCCCTGAGAATGAGAAGTGGAAGGCAAGCAGAGGCACTCGGAGCAGCCACAAGCCAACAGCTCTCCCCTGACTCGGAAGCTACCTTTACCCACCCCTACCGTAACATGTATAAAAGGCCACGCACTGACGCTGGGACGTGATTATGAAAATATACTACGCATTTTTTACTTCACCCACTGTTGCAATTTATCTTCGAAACGCCGCAGTATGTTCTAATGTATTCCAACCTGTCATCCTCCATCAAGCTTATTTCTAGTTCTCATTTTGAATACCCCAATTCTGGAAAGATAATTCTCTAGTCTTCCAGATTAGAAGTCCAAGTCATCCTTGGTCACTGTCTCTCTCTCCAACCCTAATGTGTACTCCAACAATTAGCCCCATTAATTCTACTTCAATCTCAATCCAATCAGACTCCTTCTCTCTATCTCACTACTACTCCCCTAGTTCATATCATAATTGGTTTTAATTTAGAATGCTTGCAACAATCTACAGACCTCAAATGAATGGCAGTTCTGAGCTGCCAAGCTAACAAAGCAAGAAATGTAGCCAGGCAATTACTGTGACAACTAGCAAAATGCAGTCTATCAGTACAGGGGCCCTGCTGATGAAACTGTAGGGTCAGAGTGCCTTGCTTAGCTCAAAACCCCTCCTGATGACTTTATGAAGACCATGGCCCTCAAATGCATTTGTTTCTAAGTAAGTCTTATGTGTTTTTTCCTCTTATAAATTTTAAGGAAAAACCTCATGTTTCCTAAAATGATATACTGAATTGATCCAGAAAAAGTGCTATTTTATATTATACTATGCTTTTCATTTATAAATAAATATGCCTTTCTATTCCTAGAACCTGTTCGATTTTACATTTTAAAATGATGGACTATAGTATAAAAATATATTCTTAATTTTTAGCTGTATTTAGTCCATGAAAAAGCATGGCTCTCAGTTCCTATAACTAAGGAGTTAAAAGAAGAATTTAAAAGTTGTAGTATGGCACACTTACAGTTCTAAATCTGAATCTCTTTTTAACCAGGGAAGAGATTTACACTTCTAAAATATATGATTACAATTTAAGATTCTCAAAAGGAGGTAAACGATAGCACCAGTAACTCAGTTCAATCAGAACTTCATAAGAAAATAAAAATTGTTAAGCTCATATTAGGTTTTATCATGGAACATTCTAAGAGAACTGAATAGTTCTATTTTGGTTCAAGTTTCAAGGTAATTGAGAGTCAACAAAGGAATCCCTTTTGCTTTCGCCCATGACCACTGAGAACCTTTCCAAAATGTTATTACTCTCATTTATGGCAATCTTTTCCATTCATGAGTGCAAAATGCAAAATAAACAGTCTTAGTGTCTAGATTATAAAATTTGGGTATGCTGATTTTGATGCTATAAAATTTTAAATAATTTAAAAAATTAATCTCTCAAATTACCTTAATCCCATTCAATTATTTTATACTAATATACCATGACTACTAAATTATTTTCTCTAATCTAACATAAAAAAAAAGACAATAGGTATTAAACATATTATTTCTCACAATTTTCTTATTTCAAGAAAAAATAATCTTCTCTTCGTCCCTATAAATAGCAAACTAATAAAAAGTACCAGAGCTGATATTTACAGAAATAGATACCGTCAGGGATTGAAATGGAGCAACAGGATACAGCTTGGTAAACAATAGGTGTGACAGATGGAGCAAACAGAAAGACAGTCACAGTGACTAATCTCATCTCCAGTCTTCCAGTATGATTCCACAACATGTGAGCTATGCTTTTCTAAAAGATATTTAACTGTTGCCTCAAAAGAGATATGAGATATGATTAATGTATAACAGCCAAAACTATAGAAAAAGCACTGTATCCTACTGTCGATCCTTTGACATAACTAGTCCTTTGATTTAGAATGGCATTTTTTAAAACATGAAAATATAAATGAGAATTCACAGTAATGTATTCAAGTGAAGAGGAGAGATGCTAACTATTCAACTTCAACAAAACTCCTAACATGTAAACCTTTTGCACGAAATAATGAATACTAATAATTAATAACAAAACAACATCCAGCACTGATTAAGCATATGTCATTTCTAATATTTATTACAATTGTGCAATGTATTTTAACTCCACTCACAGGTAAAGAAACTCAGAAAAGAATTAACTTAAGGTAAACAGAACTTGATGTTGTAGAGCTACTACCTACACCTGTGGATCTAACTACAGTGTCTTCTCTTTGTTACACCACAGTGACCCTCTAGGATAGGCACACATTTCATATACTATATCTATTATTACAGACTTTTTGTTTCAAATCAGAAACTTTTTCAAAAAATGTTCAGGCCATATTCATTTTAAATTAATTTTAAATTTTATGAGTCCATGAGAACAGCATATTAAAGGAAGCTGGTGGCATCTGAAGATCAAAATAATAACTAGGTAACAACTCCTAATCTTGAACACAATTAAGAAAATTATCTGTATCCTTGAAATCTCCCTAGGGGAAACTTCCATTACTGGAAATTCAGAAAGCTGGCCTGGCAAAGGTAAATATAGACTTTTTGAGATTTGGTTTAAAACACAGATTCCCCATTTTCCTTTCTTCTTCATACAGGAAACTTTTATACCCAATTTTACACCCAATAATCTCTTTAATGCCAAGTTACTTTCAGATTTCATTAAAATAAACAAAAATATTCATGTGCCATAATTTAATTTGACTTTAGTGGTCCAGGCTACTTTGAAATAAAATTCAACAGAAGCATTCAACTCATTGTCTTCTCCACATGTAAAAAGCTTTAGAAAATAGACCTTCAAGTCAAATAGCATACTTATTTTCAAATATACCTATCACAATGGTTTTAAAACAAAACACAACTCTTTGCCATGTCAATATGTCTATTATAATGGTTTTTAAGTAATATTAATAAAGCATAACTTAGATACTTCTAGGAAGCACAAATATTTTCAAATTTTAATATAAGCTAGAGAAATTATAGTTTTAATGTGAAACTTCTAAAAGAAATAATAAAAAACACTGGGGATACAATGATGCACTGGAACAAAATAATGCCTATAGCATATATTCCTATATGCATTTTTTAAAATGTTTTTAATATTTTTATTGATTTTGAGAGACTGAGGAGGGGAGAGGAGGAGAGAGAGAAACATGGATTGGCTGCCTCCTGCACACCCGCTCCGGGGGATGTGCCCTGACTGGGAATTGAACTGGCAACCTTCTGATGCCTGGGCCAATGCCTAACCAACTGAGCTGCACCAGTCAGGGCCCTATATGCATTTTCAGAAAGGCAAGCCACATTTCATTTCTTATAAATACTGCAAACCTCTTCTGCTGCCTCCACATTATATAAGAGCACATGACAATCACATTCTCTTAACTGATGAGAGAGTTGCTTTCATCATATCTTAAAATTACAGTTAGTTATTAAGCCTTGCCAGAGCGCCTACCTCGGTAGTAGAAGTCTTTGGCCATGTCCACGGAAGCCCGTTCTACTGCCGATCTCTTGTAGACAACATGAATCCTTCCCTCTTCTTCCTCCATCTGCTTACCTCTTTCCAAGGGTTCAATGAAATATTCATCATCATCACTTTTTATCATTCCGGCCTACAGGAAGCATAAAATGTGTTAATTTTTAGAGAAACATCTACCCCCTTTACCTCACAAGTACCTTTTTTTTAAGAGGTAAAAATATAATTTGTGAAAACTAATGCTCTGTCCTTCCACTTTGGGCTATAAATGTGAAATGCTTAAGTATTATATCAGTAATTCACATGAGGTATAAATTCATGTGTGAAAGGAATAAAAATTCATTTAAGGTAGAACAAGAACTTTATACTGGGCAAGAATAAGAAAATCATACAATGTATACATCTCATCAGACTGCAAAGGAACTGCATAGGTATCTTCTACTTGGCATTTTATCTCTAAAAGAAATCTCACGGAGTGTGCGAACTCCAGAAACATCTTTAGGTTCCTGTAACAACTCATAGGAGCTTCTGCCCATGCCTGTTACCTGTTTTTTTAACTCATTTACATCTTCTTTTCATACCACTGCGCTGGACAGGAGTAAGCCCACAGTGCACTCAGGACATAGACTTACTTCCCCCTTTAATTAGCCTCCTCTGCTTCACCAAAAACGCCAACTTTCTAATTTCAGTAATATGAACTAACTCATATTTGTTCTACCTTAGTCTAGCCTCATGAGTTTATATATATTGTTTTCCTTCTCAAGTTCCACCCTTTTACACTGAAAAGATTATCTTTACATTTAATGCTTCCCACCTCTTTATTCAGTGTCTTTTTCTCACTGTTTCATCTTTTGTTTATTTAGAAAACACTAGGACTAAATTCAGTAAGATAGTAGAAGCGAAATGACTGTTTGATTTGAAATTTGTTCTTCCTTAAGTATCAAGTCTATATTATAGTCAAATAGTTACATTTATCTACTTTAAAGGTCATACATTAATACGTGTATTAATTTAAATTTCTGTCTATTTACTTGAAAACAAAGTTGAAGAAATAATGTGTTAATGTGGGAATTATAATTATTTCAAAAAAATATATCCAATCAAGAAGTTAGTCGTATTTTTCTTCTGAGGTCCTTAACTTATTTTATATTTTCACAGGTCACTGGCCTTTATGGAACATGATAGGGGAGGGGAGGTTCTCAACCTTTCTAATTCATGTTGGTCTAATGTCTCTACCACTCTGGTATCAAACAACACAGAAACGAAAGGTAGGTACACCTTACCAAAGAGCATTTGTTTTCAGTAATACACCTCTGACTGTAGCTTTTCTACTACATTCATATCTGTCTTCTGTCTCCTTTCCATTCTGACTTCTACCAACAGCTACATACATGCTATCCCCTCCTTCCCCTGAGTAAGCCTTACAGGGAAATCTTACCAGCTATGGTGTCTCCAGATGCCAATTCTATACCCATCTAGATGCTATGTACATATAAAGAGCGCTTGAACCTAGGGGGCCATGTCTTACAAGAAAACAGTACCAAAGTCCTTTCACCACGCTTAGTCCTTACTATCTTAAAGAAACTCTGGCCTTAACTAAAAAGAACAGTGAGCTAGCAAGTATTCAATAGTATGCATAAATCTGCCACACACACACTCCAGCATCTGGAGTTGTTTTCTCATCTGGCCAATTACTTATTCCCCACTCCTGTACTGTGAAATGCAGTGTTCTCACAAGTGGCCGGATTACATCTTTACCCTTCAGAGTTGCTTTTACTGTCAATGGACTCATCTCCTTTACAAATACAATTTCCAACACTGATCTCATGCTTTTCAAATGTCACTTTTATTATGCATCGGTGTCATATTCTTACATGCCTTCTTACCAGTCATTTTAACATCACTGGTTTTGCCTTTGTCAGGCATGGATGGGTTAATAATGTTCATAAAACACACCTAAACTAAGCACAAATACAGTAAACATGTAACTTCCTCCTATCTTGAGACTCTTCATAGATTATAATGGTTCTCCCAGGTGAGTGCCTAACTCTGGATGGAAATAGTAGTTACTGAAGCATTCAGCAACTCTGAGCAAAGAGCAATGGCTTTGGGGGACACTTGAAAGTGATGGGGAAGGCAGTGAAGATTAGCCTGCATGCCTTTAAAAGACATTTCTCCATACCTTCTATTGCAAACATTCAAATTCCAGGTTCCATGATGTTACTTTTCCCACTAGACCACAAGCAAAACAAAACCTAACACAGCTGAACACTTCCCTTAGAAGGTAGTGAAAATTTAAGCCAGGTTGAGGCAATATCATTAGCAAGGTAAGAGCTGGGTCATGTGACCTCCAATAATTCCATGGACAGAAAATCTGAGAGTCTACTCTTTTATTCATTACTTTAAATAAAGTTAATTTTTTTTTAAAGTACTGTACTAGACACTATGGTGTAAAAAAAAATTCTCAAAGACATGGTTTGTTTGCCTCCAGTTGAGGGCAATCTAGTCAAAGAAACAAAATATATGCCTAAAGGTATTCAATGAGGTATGCTATGGAAACTCCAGAAAGTGAGTGATACAGCAGTTGAGAGTCATATTTAGTGAGTTTTTACCCTCAATCGTATTAAACATAGCAAACTATCAGTAGGAGCTGTTGAATCTAAATCCAAAATTATCTAAAATCTGTTTTAACTGAAATCTCCCTAGTCTCGGTCACAATGGGACTTCACTTTGGCCTCTGCTGTTGTTCACACTGTCTCACATTTTTACCAAGCACAGCAGCCAAATGGTTCTTTCAAAATACCGTATTAATTTTAGATAAACTAAAATGTGGTAAGAAGTGGAATGTGCATGAACAGCTGAAACATCAGGTACCTCCTTCTGGCTCACATAAAAGTTCAGGCCAGTTCTAGGTGAGCTGGGAGGAGGTTCTGCTCCACACAGGTGTCCAGGTGGAGGGTGATGCTCTGATATTTCAATATGGGCTCCCAAGTTTGCCCAGTCAGAAGGGGAAACAGCAGGAGGAAGCCCACATGGGAGGTTGTTGTGAGCTAGCCTTAGTGCTGGTGTTCACCACTACCACTTACTTCCATGGGTAAGATACAGAGCCAACTGCAAAGAGAGCCAGGAAATGAAATCTGGCTGTGTGCCCAGGGAGAAAAGACACATGGATTTTGATGAACAGATGGCAGTCTCAACTTCAAACAAAACCATGCCACTCTTTTGTTTAAAACATTTCAATTGCTTCTCATTGCACTTAAAACCACACTCTCTACCATAGCCTTCAAGGCCTGCATCACCTGGCCCTGCCCTACAACCTCAAGCAGTGCCATTCTCACCTCCTCACTATGCCCCCAAATTAGGGACCTTTGATGAGTTTAGATTTTCCTTAGATGTTCTCAAGCTCTTTACAGCTTCAAGCCTTTGAAAGGCTGTTGGTTCTCTTTAGAACTCCCTTCTCCCACCATGCCATATTTCCCTTAGCTAATTTTTTCCCCTCCAAGTCTCAGCTTAAATGTTAATTCCTTAAAAATGACTCTGACTCCCTTTTCCCCACATAGATTAGCTACCCCCAAGTAAATCAGGACCCATCTCAGTCAATCATTCTGACTCAGAACAATGCGTTCTTTTCTTTCATGGCCCTTCACACAAATTCGTGGCTGTTTCACCTACATGCCGCATTTACTGTTCTGTCTCCTCAAGGCACTGGCAGCTCTTGAAGCAGACTTGTCTATCTTAATTCACCTTTGTTTTCTTAATCACCACACAATGGCTGGCACAAAACATGTCTTCAGGACATTTTTGATGAAAAACTACATGAAAGAATGGTATACTGAGGAGATAAAGAATGTTTCAACTTGTGGTGGTCTTGAAAAGGTGGGAGTATTGTCATGCTGGTGGGTGACAGAAGGCATTAGAAGTGAGACCGTTCAGGTTTGAGCAAAGGATCTGAAGTGCAAAAGTGCTTGAGGGCAGTGAGTGCCCCATTCACTCAGAGAAGGGTCTCTGCCGGGCAGTTCTGGGAAACAAGGCTATGGAGAACTTTTATCACCTCAACCTACTATACAGGAAATTCCTAAAATCTGAACTCTGGACCACGGCCTACAAAGGCCTACATGGCCTGGCCTTGTCTATTTTTCAGGCTCCTGTTTCATACCTTCCTCTTCTGCACCAGCCATATGGGCCCTGGACCCACATATTAACTCCACCCATATGAATTAGCTTCCTCTTCACTCACTATTCCAGCCTCTTTTTTTCCCCTTAAAGGCATCACCTTGATGATTGTCACCCTTGGAGCATAATTTTCATCAAGGATGGGCTTTGACATATCACAGCTGTTTCCCAGGGCCCAGAGCAATGACTGGCTCAAAGTAGGCGCCTAACATTTTAGGGAGGGTGGGAGAAGAAAGTAAGAAATGGACAAGTAAAAATAAAACATCTTAGAGGGAAATTGGAAAAGAATGGCAAGAGAGATGGGAGGAAAGCAGAGTAGAGTGCCATGGTATCTAAGTAGGAGAGTTTTGGTGAAGTAAAAGTAACTGCAATGAAGAACAACCAAGAACGAAGACTGTGAGGAGGAAATTAGACATCAACCTTGCCTAATTAGAGTAACGGGGGCTGAAGAGATGTTACAAACACTTATGGAAAGAGTAGGTGATGAAGCCACATATATTTCAGATTCTAGACTCTACGGAACCATTACAGTTAGACTCTTCTGCTGCCCTTCCCACCACACTATTGATTTTTCCCCTCAGTAGCTACCAAAATGGAGCAATTATTTTAAAAGTGCCCGTATTTTTAAACAAAACTACTCATGCATAGTTAGTAGGGGGGGAATCATCAATACTAATAATTAAGTATTAAAGTCTCTTTTATCCACTAAGATAGTCACTTAGGTAGTCACTCATTCAACAAATATTTTGGAAGCTCAAAGACAATGCATTGTCCCGCCCTAATATTAAATGACCGACTCCCCTTTACTCAGGTCCCCATAGTTTTATTTCATAGGATATATTTATTACATACAATGACAGAGAGACTTGAAGGAATACAACCCAATAAGTATAAAACAAAAACTCTCAGACCATGGCACTCTAAGTACTAATATTATTTATAATGCTGCCAGAAATTTACAAC